CTTTCCCTATTAGGTTCAAAATGAGTAATTTGATTTTCCAACCTACTTAACAATAATTTAAGCAAATATAAAACATGTCCAATACAACACAATAATGTAATTACACCGACTTGCATCCTTGTTTGTAATTATTGTTGAACATAGCTCATACTTGGCTTTGAAATCCAATCCCATTATTAATCATTTCCTCTTCATCCAAGTCATCTTGGTCTATGTAGACACCAGGTTTTTTCTGGCTATTCCTACATGGGCTGAGAGACTTCTAAAGCAACAAGAGCAACCTTGGAGGGATGAAGGAAGTATGGAAGCGAGCCGAGACAAGGCCTAGGGAGCCCAATAGACACTTTGCATTAAAAAATCTAATTCAAGTGTGGAACGGTCGTTCCCACCCTTAGAACGACCGTTCCCAATGAAATTTTTAGTGTATTTTTGCTGTCGAGAAATGACTATTCTCAAACCCTAATCATATGTAAATCTGAGGCGTGGAACGACTATTCTAGTGTTGAGAACGATTGTTCCCTTTGCCTGGGGTGCCTATAAAAGCGTGCTAAAGGCTCATTGCCCAACACACGATGTACAAACGGAATTCTTCTCCCCTCTTTGAAATTTCTAAGTGATAGCGAGGTCTTTGTAAGAGCGAAAGTTTGCCAAAAAGCGCCTCTATACGAACTCGTGAAGAGATTTAAAAAAACTTGCTTCAGAGGTTCTAAATTCTTTATCTTCCTTTTTCCCTCTCTTTATTTGCTTTATTTATAAGCTCTATTTACATGCAATAAATCGAACACCATGTAGATAACACAGTAATACGCATGTTGTAAAGTAGGAATAATGTAAATTGTTGTATGTATGATAAAATAAAAAGGATAGAAACTTAATTAGGTTGTTATTATGCCAAATTTGTCATAGGGTACCAAGCTAGGATGTTGTGGGGTGCCTACTACATTCATCACACGTAATTGACCCCCAAACTCAACTTTGGTTATGAAGGCCAAAATCGACATGTTTGAAAACTTTTTTTTCCCGATGTTTTGTGTAAAATATCGATAATGACTCCTTCAAACTTTTTTTCAAAACCATTAGACAAGGATTAGTCCGGTCTTCAAGCATTCCGAAGTTGATGAGATTTTCAAACCGAAGGTCCAAACCATTTGTAAGTAAGATCAAAATTTTTTCAAGTTCAAACAATCTATACTTAGAATATGCTTATTAGAATTCCCAAAATTTTGTAAATTACCATTTTCTAAATTATTATTTCTCTTTTATTTATAACCCTTTAACATTAAATTAAATCAATGACATCAATAATTAGCTTACCAAACAAAGAAAAATTAATTGACAAATTAATATTAAGTTGTCATTTTAAATAACATCACAAAAATATAAAATATTTAAATTATATAGGTTGTATATATTGAATTTTCAATTAATTAATTAAATTTATATTTAATTAACTACATTTTAATAATATAATTACCATAATATTTCTTACTTTGTAAAATAATTACATTTAATATTATCAAGGCTAAATGCCTAATTCGGTCTCTCATAATAATTAAAAATTTTAATTTGGTCCCACTTTATTTTTTGTTTCAATTTAGTCCCCAATAATTTAAAAACACATCAATGTGGGACTTCTGTCCAAATTCCACAGATAGTGTTAAATATGGACGACATGGATGCCTTGTAGATGCATAGGTGGCAAGGTTTTCTTTTTCCCACAGATAGTGTTCTTTTTCCCACTTAATCCCCACACCCCTTTTGACAATTTAATTCAATGGGACGCTAAGGTTCTAAAATTTTTAACAAAAAAATTTGCTAAATCATGAAAACTTTTCACCCCACTAACATTTTTAAGAGTGAGCCAATCTCTTATGACCTTAACTTTCTTTTCATCCACTTACACTTTTTTTAGCTAACTACAAACCTAAGGAATACTACTTGATAAGTACATAACATGCATTTGTCCCTATTGACATATAGTTTCTCTCTCTTCATAACCTCTACCACTTCCTTTAAATAATCCATATGTTGATCAAATGTTAAGTTATAAATCAATATGTCATCAAAATACACCAAAAAAAAAATCCAAAAAAAATTCTTAACATATGATTCATCAATTTCATAAAAGTGCTTAGTTCATTGGTTAGCCCAAAAGGAATCACTAACCACTCATACAACCTAAATTTGGTTTTAAAAACAATTTTCTACTCCTCACCTACTCTAATTCTAATTTGGTGATAAAACCACTTTTTGAATCAATTTTGGAAAAGTAACAAGCACCTTGCATTTCATCCAACAAGTTATTAGGTCTAGGGGGTAACATGCCTGTATCAAATGGTAATGCCATTTATGGCTCGACAATTCATACACATCCTTCAAGTGTCATCTTTCTTAGGAATAAGTATCATCGGCATGGCATATGGGCTCAAGCTTTCTCTTACTCAACATTTGTCCATCAAGCCTTCCTCTTGTCTTTGGATCTCTTTAGTCTATTTAGGATTACTCATATATGATAGCCTATTAGGAAGAGAAACACCTAGAATGAAGTCCATTTTATGCTCAATCTTCTCTTGGGAGGTAATCCATGAGGTATGTCTTAAGAAAAAATCATCCTCAAACTCCTTCAACAATTACTCAACACTTAGTGGCAAAGAAACTTCTAAAGAAGACAAGCAAAGATTATTATGCATAAGTAAGAAGGTGGTTGTCTTGCAACCATCACTCTCTTATCCTTATTTTCTCTTATGAATAATCTTTTTCCACTCTTTTCAATTGTTGCACCCTTTTTTGGTTTCTACTCTTCTCTTGTGCACTCAAGTTTTTCTCTTTCTTTTAATTTTGCTTTTTTCTTCTTTTTCTTTCTTGCTATTTATTTGATCCTCAATACCTCTCTAGGAGGTAAAGGTTTTAAGGACACATTTTCCCTTTAGAAACAAAAGAGAACTTGTTGGAAACACCATCATGCGTGACATTTCTATCATATTGTCATGGTCTTCCCAATAATATATAACTTGCTTCCATAAGTACTACATCACAAAATATTTCATCCACATATTTACTTATAGAGAAATCAATCAAAACTTGTTTGTCCACCAATAATGCTCCATCCTCACTTAGCCATTGTAATGTGTATGGCCTAAGATGTATTGTACTATTAGACAAATTAAATCATTTATTTAATTTGATTAAAAAACTTGATTACATGACATAAGGCTATTAATTATTTCATATGATTCCTATGTCTATTATATACAAGGAATAATATCATCTATTCATCAACTACATCAACTAGCCTACAATTTCAACATCACAAGGTTTGTTGAGTAAGTTAAACCAGTAGAGGAGGAAATTCATTTAGTGAACTACCTTCGATAAGCAAACTCCAAAAGACCTTAAAATATAGGCCAAAACTTGCTTACCCAAAATACTTGGCTAAGCAAAACCCAAAAGCCACTTTTCCAGAGAGATGAAAATTTGTTGAGCAAAACTCTTCATTGAGCAAATTAAAAAAGGCCTATCACAAAGGCCAAGAATCGTTGAATGAGAACATCTCATTGAGCAAATTTCTAAACCAAACAACATAGGCTAAAAGCTCACTTAGCCAATCGATTATGTTGAGTGAAACTAGAGGGCCCAAAAATAATGCAAGTGTTTGGCTTAGCAAACAATAGTTCATCACATTTTGCTAAGCAATACTATCTTACTCAATGAGAATTCATCATTTTCCTATAGATTCATCCCATGAAGGCTCGTTGAGTGAGAAAACTCAAGAACTTTATACTAATAGGGATTTTCGGTGGCCTCATCCACTCCCCTTCCCATCCACAACAAGACTCACAACTTGTGAATACCAAAACTCTCTTAAGAAGCCAAATACAACTACAAATAGAGTCAAAATCACCCTTCTCAGATAGGACCTAAAATCTAGACTCTTTAATAGAGAAAATAAACCAATTCTCAGCAAATTAACATCTATTAAGTTTCTATCTCAACCATATAACACAAACATACAAGTATTAAGTTTCTCTTGCTTCAAATTAGTTTCCTAAAAGTTAAAATGAAGATGAAGAGAAAGGTTTCCTAAAACCCCAAGTAATGACTTCTCTCAACTTCTTCACAATAGCTAGATCTTTGCTTTAAGGATTCTCCTTTAACTATCAATACTTTTATTTATAACTTAGGGGAGATTGGAGACTCGTAGAAGGATCAAATGAAGAAAATGTCTCCTTGTCTCTCAGAGACACTCTCTAATTTATCTTTATAGAAAACTTAAGATAAAATTTATGAGGTTTCACTTTTTTTTTCTTTCTATATTAACCTCATTATTTTCCCTTCTATTTTTATTTTTTTCTAAATTATAAAACTATTGCTTAACTCCAAAGTCCTCTCACTATTAACTCCTTTCAACAAAACAGTAGAATATATAAATAAGACATATAATACAAAATATAGAAAAATAACATTTTAATCATTTTTGTATTTTTGATCCTTATAATTATCTATTATTCCTGTTAAGACTAAGATATTAAATTTATAAAATTATAGAAAGAAAAGAAAGTAGGTATAAAAATTAAAATGAAATACTTTTAATTATAAAAATTAAAAAATAAAATTTATGAACATCTTCCTCGTACACAAACTTATTATTATTACATAATAATTGAACATTGGAATTCCAAAAAATATCGTCCAATAGATTTTATTAGGAGAGAAGAGCAATGGGATATTTTGGACACACATTGATTCTTGTTCATTTTGGTCGAATGAGAAAGATATGCAGATGACGTGGCCTCCTCTCTATCTCTACCCAACTATCCAGACCCTCTCTCCTTTTCCATTGCACTTTTCCCCTTTCCTTTCCACGTCTCCCTACGCCACGCCCCCTGCGCACGTTAGCACCCCCTTTCTCATTTTCCCATTTATGCACCCCCTTCGCCTCCCTCAATCATAACCAACCATCCTTTCCTTTTCCTCCAACCCATGCTAACGTGCGCCATCTGAACGCCGGCGTTTGATCTCCCTCACTTCTCTCGTTGCCGCTTTATTCGCTTCATGAGCGTCGTCGTTTTGATGCTAGGGGTAGAGGGTTTCGGTTTTTATTTTATTTGGGGGAGTTGTTTGGTAAGTGAGTGAGTGAGTTTGTTTTGAAAATTTTATTTTTTGGTTGGAAAGGGTGGAGACTGAGGAGATTAGTTTGATGAGAGTTCTATAGCGTCGTCGTTTTGATGGTGGGGTTAGAGGGTTTTTGATTTTTTTTTTCTTTGGGGGAGTTGTTTGGTAAGTAAGGGAGGGATTTTTTGTTAAAAGTTTTTATTTTTGGTTGGAAAGTATGACTATGGAGACTGAGGAGATTAATTTGAATATAGAGAGTGGTGTGAATAGTAAGAGTGGTGATGGGTTCATTGATAGGAGTAAGGTGCGGATTTTGTTGTGTGATAACGATTCCAAGAGTTCTGAAGAGGTTTTTACGCTTCTTTTGAGGTGTTCTTATCAGGGTATGTATGTACGGATGAACACTCAAATCAACCCCTTTTTTATTTTTCGTTGATTTTTGTGCGTTGTAGTCTTTACTTGCTGTGTTGTTGTTATGTCATCTTTCAAATTCTGAAGGAAAAAAGAGTTTTTTTTTTTTTTTTTTTTGGGCTGGGTCTTGTGAAAAATGATTTAATCTGAATTTGTTGCTAGATAGAGGTTAACTGTGGATTCAGATTTTGTGGGTGAGTTGGGAACACTGAAAGAGGTTAACTTGAATTTCATCAAGTCAAGTTTGACTATAGTTTCTTTTGAAGCTCAGTTTGTGTTCTTTTCTTTGTGCTATTGTTGAAGTATAATGAGTGGTTGGAATTGTCATTTTTGCTATTTCACCTTTGAGACCCATTAGTTGATGTACGTATGTATGTCAAAGATAAGGGCAAGAACAATGTTTGGTTGTAATAAGATAAGATAGGTTTGTTTAAGACCTGGCAGTGTGATTGCTTGCTGCAACTTTTACATGTATGAGCTTTTTAGATTCTAGATTCTTCTCATGTGCTTTAATTTTGAGGTTCAAGTTTTTCTTTTTTCTTTCAACAGTCGGTGGTATGAACATGCAGAGAAGTTTTTTCTATGAGTGAAAATGCCTCAAGTGGTGATTTCATTGAATGCTGTATGATACATACTGTGTGATGCAGTTTGGCTGGTTTGGTTTAAAGATTATACAATTTATGGCATGCTTCTGAGATTTTATACAATAAACCTCTTCATTGTCTATGCTTCACAGTTACTTCGGTGAAGTCGGCGAGACAAGTGATTGATGCACTGAATGCAGAGGGGCAACATATAGATATCATACTGGCTGAACTTGACCTTCCGATGAAGAAGGGCATGAAGATGTTGAAGTACATAGCACGGGATAAAGAGTTACGCAGAATTCCTGTAATAAGTAAGCTTTGGCTCTTTATTTTGTTAAGAAACCCGTGAGACTCTTGAATTTAAGTAAATTATATTCTGCTCCTCATCAATGTTTTGAATATCTTGTTTTGATAAGTGATGTCCGCACAAGATGAGGTATCCATTGTTGTTAAGTGCTTGAGACTTGGAGCAGCAGACTATCTAGTAAAGCCTTTACGCACTAATGAACTATTAAATTTGTGGACGCACATGTGGAGACGGAGGCGCATGGTTCGTATCGGTCAACTTCATATTTATGGATGTTCCCCATTTTGTGTTCTTTAATCCTATTATTATTTTTTCATCTCTGTTGATGCTGAGTTGATTTGCATCTGTATTTAGAGCTGTCGACTTTTACCATCACAGCCATTAATTTTTTAGAAATTAGGTTGTCAAGATTCAAACCTTATGCGCCATGGTTTGGATGACACATGAATGCTCCTTAATTATATGTATAAGATATTATACATAATTGTTTGGTATACTAGATGGGTATAATATATATTTAGCATTTTGAAAGTTTTTTTTTTGGAGGTTGATATGGCCGATCTACATTCTACCAAAAGTTGTCGAGGTTTATGATTTGGCCTGTCAGTTTACATTATTTCCTTATAACAACCATTTGCCTAATTTTGAATGGAATTATTGTAGGAAAATACTTGAGATTTTGTAAGAGCCACTTTGCATACCAATTATCAGGCTACCTCATCTGTTGTGCAATCTGTGCAACAGTTTAGGGTCAGCCAAACACTGTTAGTGACACAAGTAATTAAATCAAAATGTTCAAGGGAGTTTGAACTTTATGTCTGCTAGCATCACACAGACATCAATTATAGTTAGTAGTTTCATTTTGCATTGTATGAAATCATGTTATGTTTACGTTGGAATTTGTCAGATGGTAAAACTTTGGATTTTGGGAAGTAAGCGACCTTGATTTAACAGATTTCATATGTAAACACTTAACATGGATGATGAATCAACCATACAATGCATGGGTTATATAATGTTATTGGGGTGGCCTCTACCCTTTACCCTATCTCAATTATGCACTTTGCATATAAACATTCATGAAACTCTTCTCTGGATTTGCCAATTCATGCTTAGACCTTCCTGATTTAAGATTGAAATTTTGTTTTATATCTATGCTGGCAGCTTGGACTTGTAGAGAAGAACATCTTGAATTATGACTTTGATCTGGTGGCATCAGACCCTAGTGATGCCAATACAAACAGTACCACCCTGTTCTCTGATGACACAGATGACAAGTCCAAGAGAAACACTAATCCAGAGGCAGGAATATCAGTACAGCAAGAGCAAGAGGTGAATGTTAAAAGAAAACGTATTTAAATAATGCAAGAATGTAATAAACAATGAGATCAACATGATTACAAATCAAGAAACTTTTGCATCATGGTAAACTGTGATTGTAAATTTATCTATGAAGAGGTGATACTATTTTTGAGCTTACTTTGCAAATATTTCTACCCTTCAGAATATGAACTTTGACATTGACATGTTTTTAAGTTCAGATATTGCCTTTCATTGTTAAGGTGACATCAAGTCTGATGATGTATAGAGATTAAACTATAAAAGAGAAATGAGTCAGAATTATGTGTAGAGCCATTATTTATATGTGGAGTGTGTTAGAGACTTAATATAAAATGGAGTAGAGTTTGGTCCATGTTATCCATGTTCTTCTAATAAAAAGTTGTAGGTGGGTTGTTTGTTATTCATGCCTCAAGCCTAAAGGACTGTTGCCATCCCGCATGAGGGGGCATGTTAGAGATTTAATGTAAAATCTATTTGTTAGGCTTTACCTTACAGCTTAAGCTTATTGGATAGTTTATTCATATGTCAGTTTGTAGAAAAATGCTGATGTGCCCTGTGCACAATAACGCTTAGAGCCATTGGGTTTCATGTGGAGTATATGGAGAAGTGGTAGTTTGCCTCCACACAGATCCAGAAGTAATCCAGTAGTTCAGAAAAGGGATGCAAGTTATTCGCAAGTGTAAATGGGTTTAGGTTTAGAATTTCTCTAATACCTTTTATCTGCCAACTACTGTTGTTTAAGCTATTGGTAGATGATATTATATAGCTGCTAATAACTTAAATCAGAAGTTCTGTACTATGGGGTCATTTATGTATATAATTTATCTTTTCAGTCGACTATTGCAATTGCTGCTGCTGTTGAGGAACCTCCAAATGCTCATGCATTAGAACATCAGCCTGATGTGGATGGAGTTAATGATCACAGAACAGGTATGCTTCTTCTCTTCATTTGACCTTTTTTAAATCCCAGAAATTCTATATTGATTTTTTGTGATGAGTATGAAATTATACAGTGTAGCACCAACCAGTTCTGCGTATGTTGTAAGATTTCATTTTGAATACCATAAGGGGACTTAAATGGCTACAAACTGTTGGAAAGCTGCCTTAATTGTGGTCCCCTCTAGCCTTCCTTGCGGCAATCTTTGGGCTGTCTTAATTGCAGTGTTGAAAGGGGTGTGTTTAGTCTCACATTAATTAGAGATATGGCCTAAGTAGTGTTTATAAAGCTTGGACAATCCTCATCTTACAAGTTAATTTTGTGGGGATTGAGTTAGTTAGGTCCCAAGTCCAACTTCTAAGATGGTATTAGAGTTTATTCTAGATTTTTTGTTGGGCCGGTTGCATGGTCAGACTCTAGGTTGATAGTCCTGGGGTGTTGGAAAGCCATCTTAATTGCAGTCACCATTGACCTGCCTTTGTTGTGATTTGTGACTTCTTTGTTGTGTTTAAGTTTGGGTGATCCTCACTTTACAAACTAATTTTGTGAGGTTGAGTTAGGTATATCCCATTTGGCCATTTCTAAGACAAACTTTGGTTTTCCCCATCTTTCTCACCTGGTAGCCAATCTTGGTATGTGAAGTATATCTGTTCAAGTAACTTGTAAAAAGTATGGTTGTTCATGTAGCAGAATCACTTATTTGTAGCTTGACTTTAATATGTCCATAGTTTCTAATTCTGAAAAATGGCTTCAATCTGAATGGAATGAGTTCCTGAGGTTGAACAAAATTTGACTTGTGCAAAAACCCGTTTCAGTTTAATTGTTTCCTCTCTGATTTGCTTTAATTTTGTAGGTCATTTTTCATCTGGTCCAAAGAAGAGTGAACTAAGGATTGGGGAGTCATCAGCCTTTTTCACGTATGTCAAAGCATCAATACTGAAGAGCAATTTTGAAGGGGTTGTTAATGTTGACAATGGTGCTACACATGTGAGGATGGAAGTTACGCATCAAGCGCGTGCTCAACAAGGGGTTAGTGACCTTCAAGTGCATGAAAATGGAGAGACGTGTGAAAGTCAATCGCAAGATGACTTACCCAGCAGCAATAGTATGCCTGATTCTTTCTCTATTGAGAGGTCTTGTACTCCACCTGCATCAATGGAAGTTTCACAGCAAAAGCACAACAAGGAAGAAAATTTACATCAGGGTGTGATGCATCCGAGAAATGGGACTCATTGTTCTGAGCTTGAAGTATCTGGCATGACCTCCCAACATGCTTATCCATATTATATTTCAGGAGTTGTTAATCATGTTATGATGCCTTCATCAGCACAAATGTATCAAAAGAATATCCAGGACCTACAGAATCATCCTAATACAGCAATGCTTGCACAGTACAATCATCTTCCCCAAGGTGGTCCTCATGGAACGGGGATGACATCCTTCCCATACTACCCAATGAGCATATGCTTGCAACCTGGTCAGATTCCTACACCTCATTCATGGCCTTCATATGGAAGCCCAAGTTCATCAGATGCAAAATTGAGTAAAGTTGATAGGAGAGAAGCAGCATTGATGAAGTTCAGACAGAAAAGGAAAGAGCGCTGCTTTGATAAGAAAATTAGGTATGTTAACAGGAAACGACTTGCTGAAAGGCGGCCTCGGGTAAGGGGACAGTTTGTTAGAAAGATGAACGGTGCTAATGTGGATCTTAATGGGCAGCCTGCATCAACTGAATATGATGATGATGACGAAGAGGACGAGGATGATCAGGGAGCAAGAGATTCATCTCCTGAGGATGTTTGAGTTTGTTAAATTGCTTGTTTGACTCAGCGACCAGGGGCCCATCAATTCCTTCCTGTATTGAAAGTTGCTACCAAAGCATCAATTGATGAGGCATGTGCTCTCATGTAACTGGGGTGCTGATCCAATGTGTGCACCCTCATCATTTATAGTTGAATCAAGCTCATGCTCGGTCATTTTTGAATACCAGTTTATTCAATGATCCGTCCTACTGATGAGAGCTACCTCCTGCTGGTTGTGTCCAATGCGGCTGAAAGTATCATGCTTAGTTTTATTGAAACAGTTACAATTACAAGCAGGTTGTTCCTGCTTATGTTTATGGAGAAATATCAAGACGTTTAAAAAACTGACATGAGAAATGAGTTATTTGTCTAAAATTTAACTTTCAAAGTTTCACAACCATCCAAATCATTTCGCCTCCCTAATTTTCTGTGTATTTTGTTTTTGGTTTACCCGGAGGATTGTTAGATCTACTACTATCCGAAACTTTAGAAGTTTTTTTACCTTCCTATTTTTCTTCTTATAAATAGATTTTACCCCGTCGACATATTTTCCTCTTGTTGAGATTAATTTTTAAAGGGTAATTTTTTTTCAAATACTTGAATCTGAAAGGTAAACCAAAGATTACATGCTAAAGGGATGAGGCCATTTTTCTCGGATTTAACCCCCATAGATTATAAACTGTTACGTTGATACAAATAATATTAAATGTTTAAATTCAAGATTAAAATGGCTGGATTCGGTGCTTCAACAATAGTGAAAGTCAAATAAAATTTCATATTTATTTAAAGTTTGTCAGTAGCTGAGTGGTCTACTTTTGTGTTACTAAACTATGGATGGTTTGAAACCACTCCCAAGTGGGCATTATAAAATGTATCAGGAATCCAATTAATAAGCTTTTAGTCATCCAAATGTAAATATACAAAGATTCTAATTGGGAGAGCAAGTTAACCAAATCAGCTGGTTCGATGGCACTATTAAAGAGGATCTGGCGTGAATATTTTTTAGTCTCGAACTAAGTGGATTATATTCTATGAAAAGTGGAATTTCAACAAAAATGGGGATTGTTTACTATTGAATATGAATTGTCAATTTAATGAATCAAACAACATATTTGGCGACTAATATTTCTAAATAGCCTTATACTTGATGAATAAATAGCTAACTATTTTATATATATATATATATATATATATATATATACGAGGAGAGATCCGTTTACTCCGAGAGGAAGGTAAATTAATGAAATGAAGTATCAAATAATTTTCAAATTTTTTAAAACTTTACACAGTTGATCTATGCATTAAGAACTTTAAATTCAACAGTTAGAACATTGAAATTTGATGTAGAATAAGATTTATTGAACGTAGTAAGTATATTTAGACTTACTCCTGGAATAAACAGATCCCTCCTATATATATATATATAAATGAGGGTTTAAACGACACCAGTGTAACTTTTATTAAGTGTTACACCACTCAATAACTTTATATTAATTTTGAATTTTGAAAATCCAACTGTTAGATTAAAAGTTTATATCTCTTAGATCATATATATCAAATTTTGTTAAATTTGAACAACAACTTGAAGTTAATCAAAATGTTCATATTTTAATGTATTTTAAAATGAATATATTACGTCAATTTTGTTTTATGAGAATGAAGTATCAAATCATCTTGGATTAATATAAAATTTTGGATATATAATATAAGAGATATGAACTTTCAATCTAACGGTTTGATTTTCAAAATTCACATTTAATATAAAGTTATTGAGCAGTGTAACACTTCGTAAAAATTACACCGGTGTCGTTTGAACCCTCCTCATATATATATA